AACTGATGCTGAGTGAAGTGAGCAGGACTAGGAGAACATTGTATACAGTAACAGCAATATTGTGTGATGATCGACTTTGATAGACTTAGCTCTTCTCAGCAATGCGATGATCTAAGACAGTTTCAGTCCACAGAAAGAATTACGGAGTTGGAATGCAGATCAAAGCATACTTTTTTCTCTTTTATGTTGTTTTTTCTTTCTCGTGCTTTTTCCCTTTTATTCTGATTCTTCTTTCACAACATGACTAATGTGGAAATATGTTTAATATGATTGTCTATGTATTACATGATGTCTTGGGGAGGGGGAAAAATTTAGAACTCAAAATTTTACAAAAGCGAATGTTGAAAACTAAAAATTAATTAATTTTTTAAAAAAAGAAATGGGGGCACCTAGGTGGTCCAGTGGGTAGAGCACTGGCCCTGGAGTCAGGAGGACCTGAGTTCAAATCCAGCCTCAGACACATAACACTTACTAACTGTGTGACTCTGGGCAAGTCACAACCCCAATTGCCTCTCCAAAAAAAAAAAAAAAAAAGGAAAGAAAAAGAAAAAAAAGAATTTAAAAAAAGAAATGATGAGCAGATGGAATTCAAAAAAACCTGGAAAGGCTTATATGAACTGATGCTGAGTGAAGTGAGCAGGACTAGGAGAACATTGTATACATGTCTAACCTGTATCAGATTGCTTGCCTTCTTGGGAGGAGGGGAGAGAGGGGAAAAAAAATTTGGAACCCAAAATCTTATAAAAGTGAATGTTGAAAACTGAAATAATAATAATTTAAAAATAAGCACTTAAAAAAAACCTGTACCTCATACAGAAGGTCACATATACAGTAATCTTAATGCAAGGATCACATGCCTAAACTCTAAAATTATTTAATTATGTAATTTTAACTGTCTTCATTTAAAAGGAGAAGCTTGTTCTTATCCTGAAGTATTAAAATATTAGTCATTTAAAAAAGAGATAATGGGTTCTTTTGAAGTAAGCATACTTCCTGAGGGTCAGGAGATATGCTAGTGCACAGAAATCAGTTGTGTATATATGCACAGGGTTGTATGTAAGATAACTAATATTTTAATTTCAATAGTCTACTTTAAGGCAAGGCTTATCCTGCCTTATTTATATAAAATGTGGAATGGCAGACTTCTCTGCAATATGACATGGTTCAAGGAATATGGTATTTTCATTGTTTAGTTACTTTTCTTCTTGAGAGGGGCAACATGGTATAGTGAAAAAGTGAATTGCATTAATAAAGACAGATTTAAATAATTGGAGGCAATATTAATTGCTCATAGATAGGCAGAACCAATGTAATAAAAATGACAGCTACCTAAATTAATGTATTTATTCAGTTCCATACCAATCAAACTACCAAAAAATTACTTTCTAGAACTAGAAAAAAAAATAACAAAATTCATCTGCAGAAATACAAGGTCTTGAATTTTAAGGGAATTAATGAAAAAATATGGGAAGAAAGAGGTTTAGCAATACCAGATCTCAAACTATACTACCAAGCAATAATCAGCAAAATAACTTAGCGAGGGAGGGGAGAGTACATCATGTTGATTGTCAGGAGGCATGTGTTCGAGCCTGAGGTCTGCTACTAACTTCCTGTGATCCTCATCAAGTCATTTAACTTCCCTGGGCCTCAGTTTCCTCAACTAAATAAATGATTTTCAACAACCTTTAAATCTCTAAAATAACTCTTAGAGTGCTATAAATGCTTTCTGTTCAAATTGTTGGAATGAATCTTTTAAAGATTTGAGGTTTTTTGTTTGTTTGTTTGTTTTTTTCAATATTCTTTTCCATGCCAGGTGACAGTAATGCATTCTATGCAAGCTGGCTACTTGGAGAAAGCACAGAAGTACACAGACAAAGCACTCATGCAGCTAGAAAAGTTAAAAAGTAAGTAAGATAAAAGGCAACGTGATCTAACAGAACATTAGCCTTTGAGTATGAAGGCCTTAGGTCTAGTCTTGGCTCTGCCGTTAGCTACCACTAATAAGACTTTAAGCCCAATCATTTCCCCTCTTTAGGCCTAATATTCTCATCTTGTAAAATGAGAGGTTTGGACTAAATTATTTCTAGAATGCTTTCTGGCTCTTGATATTCTTTATGTTTGTATGTAGAGTATTTGGGGTCAGGTGCAGAACCATCTGAGTGATAATAGTTGTTGCAGCAGTTCCCTCTAGTGGTACCATGCCAGCACATTTACTTCTGGCACGTTTTCCCTAAGTTTGATTCTTTTAGTTTTCATGCTTCTTGTATACTTCTTATTGTCTAAATTTCTTTGATTCTCTCTTTTAGTGTTAGACTGCAGTCCTATCTTGTCATCTTTCCAAGTGATATTGCTGGAACACATAATCATGTGCCGACTTGTTACAGGACATAAGGCCACTGCCCTGCAGGAGGTAAGTTTAATATGTCTGGTTGCATCATTTGTCTATACACTTAAGTATTTATAAATCCAGAAAAAAAGCAGATTTCCATTTTGAGTCATACTTAGTCATGTTTATATCCTAGTGGAAAGAGCACTAGACTTAGAATCTGGGCCTCAGTTTCCTTAACTAAATAGAATAGACCAACGTTTGCTGCCATTTATTAGACATGTAACCTCAGAGAAGTCACATAATTTCCCTAATGATAATTCTTGCACCACCTTCTCAGAGTTGTGAGGACCAAATGAGTATATATGTAAAAATCTTTGTAGACTATTGAGTAGTATATGAATGTTAAATTATTAGCATATATATTTATAGGAATTTTGTAATGGCATGATGGTTTTAAATTGTTTATTAAACATGATTATTTTCATTTGAGCAAAAATTTAATTTGGAGTTGCAAAGTTGCATATATGATAGAAGTGTGGTAGAGCATGTCATCTAGCTTTAATTTATCTAACATTAGGAAAGGCTACAGGTAAAATTTTTAGTATCTAGCAAGAATTCAAACATTGTTTCTTTAATTACTAATATTGAGTTCAGGATGTGAACTTTGACTTAAAGAGAAGGTCCTTTCTTATGTTTTTCTCCCTTATGATTAGGGAGGGCTAGAGGTCCTGCACTTTAATCTCTTTATACCCTGACCTTTTTGGAGAAGCCAAATAGTGAAGTTGAATTCACCAACCCTGAAGTCAGAGAACCTAGGTTTTAGTCCTGATGCTTTCTGAACATGAGTTTCCTTATATAAAATGAGGTGACACTCATACTAGCTACCTTTAGGGTTAACGTGAGGGAGTCATTTTGTGAACCATAAAATGTTATGTAAATGGGATTTTTTTTTTTCTCCTAACCCTAATTGCATTCCCATGGTAACCTTGGGCTCTCATAGGGTATACTAGCAAAGCCCAGACACTTAGTTGTTGTTCTAGGCCCAGCTTAGCCAAGTTTACACCAGAAAAGTAGCCACTAAGTGACCATGGTAGCTAACTAAACCATCTTAAAAAGGCTTAATGAGTCACATCCCTATGTCTCAAGAGGAAGAATGTCCACAAGAATAAAATCTCAGATCTTTTAAAGGATTGAGGTGAATAGTACTCTTGTTATCCTTATAATAATATTAACAATAAAAATTAGTTTCTGTTGAGCTAATTCTTTCTCTGGTTTGGCCTTGGAGGACGTTTAGAACACTGTAATAAAAATGGTTTTTCCCCCCTTTTAACAGATCTCACAAGTCTGTCAGCTGTGCCAACAGTCTCCAAGGCTATTTTCTAATCATGCTGCCCAGTTACATACTTTATTAGTGAGTATGAAGTTAAAAGTGTAAAGTAAAGCCTTACCTTATGTCTATTAAATGTGTATTAAACTCTTGTGAGTTTCTAGAGGAATCTTAATTCTGCTTGGGAAATTTAGTTCTCTTTGATGTAGAAAGAACCCTGGGGTAGGTGTTATATTTAGATTCTACATGCAGCTCTGACAACATGTGTGACTTTGGGCAAGTCTCTTCCCCTCTCTGAGCCTCAGTATCCTCATTTGGAAAATAAGAGAATTTGACTAGCTCATCTCTGAGGTTCCTTCCAACCCTTTGTTCTGAGGGCCTTTCCAATCCCAACAATCTGTGCATCTGAATAGCTTGATATTGAACATTAGAGATATTTTCAGTAGTCAGTGAGTAAAAGAACCAAGGTCACTTTTTAAAATTTGGAAAGAAGTTTATTAATTTTCTTTTCCATTCAGAGAAAGTTAAAATGTACCACAACTTACTCAGATCACTCTTAACTTGCTACTTCATAATTTAGTCAAGATGCGGAGTGTGGCCCAGACAGTGTGAAGGTGCACTTAGTCATCACTCGGTGGCACAGAGTATGTATATAGATCCAGCTGCTTCAGAGCTGGTGATTTAACATAGGCTGAATGTTACATGAAGTGGTTACTTTAGAGAAAGATAGAATAGCTCGAGTTGATAATTGTGTTTATAAGATCTAAAACAACTTGTTAACCTAAGGAATATTTTGGGTATCTGGCTTAGGACTGTCTCATAAAACCTTTAGGTTGCCAGAGGTCATTTAGGTGAACTCCCACCTAGAGCATGTATTTCATGAATCACCTACAGCATCTTTGGTCATCCCACCTTAACTTAAAGACATTCAGTGATAGGGAACCCACTTCTTTAAGGCAGTCCTTTCTACTTTTATGAAGCTCTAATTATTATCATCTTTTAAAAATATTCAAACAAAATCTATATAACATCTCCCTGTTGATCTTAGTTCTGCCCCCTTGAATCCCCGGTGCTTTACACAGTGCCTGAAACATAGCAGGCACTTAAAATAAATACTTGTTGCCTTCCTGCCTAAAGTCCAAGCAAAACAAGTCTAATTCTTCTATATGATAGCTCTTCATATATTTAAAAATACTTTTCCAGCCTCAACATCTCCAGGCATCTAACCAGTTCATATATTGAATGCTTTTGAGGCCTGTTATCAATATGGTCCTTTGGAAACACCCCAGCTTGATAATGTCCCTCTAAAAATGTGGCTTCCAGAACTTTATACAATAGTCCTTGGTTTCTGACCAAAGCAGAAGCTGCCTCCCTCTCTTTACCCTGTTGGTTTATGTTCTTTCCAAATTTCATGCAACAGGGCAGACTAATGACTATTCTTTCAGGAAGTTCTGTGGATACAGTGACATTTCAGTATTCCCTCTTTCCCCTACCCTTCCTTCTTTTCAGGGTCTGTACTGTATTTCTGTTAACTGCATGGATAATGCAGAAGCTCAGTTCACTACTGCATTGCGGGTAAGGTTTTAACTTTACTATTACCCTTTCAGTTTGGGAAGATGTTTCTCAAAAAAATTAATATCCCCATTTTAACTTCATAAAATAATCTCCTCTAAGTAAACCACGGCACAATCAGCACACTACTTTGATAGTAGGGTTATCTGCCCCCAAGAGAGCCAGCCTATAAGATAACACTAAAGGGCTAAATACCAGAGAACATTTAGGCAATAAGTTATAGCGGAGAGCAGCCTGATTTGGAATCAGAAGACCCAGGTTAAAGTCCCAGCTCTGATATTCACTAGACTTTTTATATTAAAACAGGTCACAACATTCCTAGGCCTCAGTTTACTAATATTTAAAATGAAGCTAGTAATATTTGCATTGCCTTCCTCATAGTAATGTTATAAGGGAAGTGCTTTATAAACCTTTAAAGCACTATATGAGTATTAGTCATAGTTGTTATTATTCAGAGAAAAGTAGCTGATTTTGATTGACTAAAGATGAACAAACCTTCCCACCTACTCTCCTATCAAGTTGTCATTACCAGCATGTTAGTCTTTTTATTCACAGATTACTGCTCCATTCCCAGAGTTAAACTGATTTTGTATCACTCTTGTAAATTAAGGTGGAAGCCAGATTAGGATTGTGGTGCAGAGTTGCATTTTAGGCAGCGTAGTATAGTGGAAGAACATGTAAAACTTCAGGTCAGAAGACCTAGATTTCTTGGATATATGATCTTGAGGTAAATTAAACTCTGAAATGCTGTTCTCTGATATTACATAATAATACTTGCATTACCTACCTTAGAAGGCTGTTCGAGGGTTTAAATAAAATAATGTAAAAGCCATGTATGAATGAATAGTAAAACATTTATTAAATGCCTGCTGTGTGCCAGACACTGTACTAAATACTAGGCATACAAATACAAACAAGCAGGACAATCCTTACCATCAAAGAGCTTATATTTGAATAGGGGAAGAAAACGTATGAAGAGGAGCTAGAAAGTGGGGAGCGGTGATACACTTGAGGTGGCATGGTTTGGAAATGACTAGGAAGTGATATGGAGGCCTCGTTCTGGGGAAGATAAGGTGAGAGCTCGCCTTTCAGAACCCAGTCTCCCTGGGGCAGAATCCAAGATTCTGGTAGGGGGAGGAAGAGAAAGTTGATAACCACAGTATAAGTATGATGGTTAAGTTTGACACAGTAATGGGAGGTCCAAATGGAGATATCATATCGACATTTTGAATTACGGGATTAGATTGTGATTGTTGGTTTAGTATGAGTGGATATCTGGGTTTGCCCCTCCTCTTCATGGCTCTGTCCCTTGCTGTGTCCTGCTTAGTTCTGAAATTCCTCTACTTGGTCCAGGACTGAGTCTTGTCCAGGAATTCTCCTTTTTCCTTCAGTAGACTTAGTTCAAAAATTCCTCCACTTTCAGGACCTTGTCCATTGCTCAGCAGTTCCAGTCACTGTGGCCATGCATTTCCTTTGAGGGGCCTCACAGATGTATAGATTTCCCCTCCAGGGAGCCCAATGTGAGTCTCTATAGTCCTATATAAATATAAACTGCTATCATTTTATTCTCAGGATGGAGCTGCTTCCACCTTTGCTTGTGTGATGCTCTAAATGTTTCTAGCTTTGTCATTAGGGTTCACAGATTTCTTCAGTGATAAGAGTAAAATTGGGGAAGCTCGATGGCGCAGTGGATAGAGCACCAGCCCTGAAGTCAGGAGGACCTGAGTTCAAATCCAGCCTCAGACACTTGACACTTACTAGCTGTGTGACTCTGGGCAAATCACTTAACCCCAATTACCTTAAAAAAAAAAAGAGTAAAATTACTTTAAGTTAGCTTCAATGCCTAGCTTTTCTCCCTTCTCTTTAAAAATTAGATTGGTATTACATTTCAGGGAAAATTGGGGGAGATATAGGGGTGTGTCATTAAGTCATCCAGTATGGTATCATAACTCACTGGTTCAGAAAGCTTGGGATGTATATCTAACCAATGAGAATGTGTATTCTTTGGTGTTACTTCTATTTTTACTGTTGTTCGTTTTTCATTTCCTGTTATAGCTTACCACTCATCAGGAGTTGTGGGCATTTATTGTGACAAACCTCGCCAGTGTGTACATCCGAGAAGGCAATAGACACCAAGAGGTAGGTGACATGCCTTTTCTAAACTTTTGTCTTCAATTATCTTTCTATAACTTGATAGTGTTCTAGTATAGTAGAAACAGCAGAGGCTCATAGATTTAGAGATCCTCTAGACCAGGTGTTCTTAACCTGGGGTCTGTTAACTTGATTTTCTCTTACATTTTCATAACTGTATTTCAGTATAATTGATTTCCTTTGTAATCTTTTGTATTTTATTTTATACACTTAAAAACATTCTGAGAAGGGGTCCGTAGGCTTTACCAGATTGGCAAAGGGATCCAAAAAAAAGGTTAAAAACTCCTGATCTATAGCAACACTCTCATTTCACTGATAAAGAAATTGAAACAACCTAGGCTCTATGTCAGATTCTGCCCAGCTTTTCTCTTTCTCTGTCACAAACCCCAAGATAGAGTAGTCATTTCCTTGCAGAGTCCCCATCATTTCCTCCCCAGCAGCCAGTTCTTTCTTATTTGAATCTTACCAGATTCAAAATAGCAGTTTCTCTAGCTGGTTCCTTTGCCTTGTAGGGATGAAATTATGATTAAGCTAAGTCAAAGAATTGTTAAGTGTTACACTGGCAGAGGAATAGTGATCCATCTAAAGATCTAAATACATGAAATCCTCCTTAACAAATATATCATGTTGCCATGCCAGGATTGTTACCTGTTTCCCAAATTCTTCATTTATTTCCTCTTTCTATGGTTGTCTGTAGTATACTCTAATGTCAATATTGCTTCTGTTTAGGTGCCTATGGATTTTCAACCAGATACTCTCCACCATGCTTGTTTCTTTTCCTTCCTCATTTTCCTCATATGTCTTCCTAAAATACAGGGACATTTCCCCCCACCCCCTCTTTTGCTTATCCTGTACTTTTTGGAAAAAGTGAAAGTCATTTTCTCTCCCTAAACTTCAGTTACTTCATGTTTAAAATAGGAATAATACTCTTTGCCTTAGCTCCCTTCTAGGGTGGTTATGAGGATCCATATGAGGCCAGTGGTTGTGAAAGCACTTCAGTAAAGCGCAGAAAGGTTGTTTATTGTTGATTATTGTTCCATATTGCAAATATATCACTTTATGCAATAAATGTATTTCCTCAGTTATGTTTAAATTGAATATAAAAATCAAATCAGATTTAGTCAGTGACTTAATTTAAATACTTTTGAGGGTCTAGAGTATAATAATATTGTGCTATATGATAATAGGGATTGCGGAGATGCATTTATTATAGTCCTTTTCCTAAAGAATTTTAGAAGCTACTCGGGAAGACATAAGAGTAAGCCCTATACAAGGCATTACATGATTATGTATTAGGTGAGATGCATTGACCAAAACTGTCACCACAAAAGTTTTAGAAAGATCACAGTGGGTGAGAGTAGTCAGGCAAAGGTGCATGAAAGAGATCCCTGGAGGGTGGGCAAAATTGTGGAAGACTGCAACAGCAAAGAGTATTCCAGTTACTGACTTTGGAATCAGAAGGCCAAAGTGTCCATGACCATGAACAAATCACCCTCTCTGAGTGTCAGTTTCCTCGTCTTGAAAAACAAATAATCTTACCCGCCTTGCCAATTCTCAGCATTGTGAAGAAAGCACTTTGTAAATTCTAAAGCACTCCAGAAGTAGGAAGTACTATTATTCCTGGAGGAGTAGGACAAGCCAGAGTCTAGAGGGCCAAGTACTCCTCAGGTGGGCAGGGGTGAAGAGCTTGCCTAGGTTAGCCAGGGGAAATAGGAACAGATTGTTTAGGGCCCAGTAATAAGAGGTATTGTAAACCAGGCTTTGAATGCCAAGCGTTTGAATTTTATCCTGTAGATAATAGGGAACCATTGAATTTATTTCTGCATAGAAATAACATGACATTTTTAAGACAAAGGCAGACTGATGTAGTGGATAAAAGGCTGGCATTAGAATTAGGAAGACCTGGGTTCAAATCTTGCTCCTGATACATACTAACTGTGTTACCCCGGACAAGTCATTTAACCTTTCAGTGCCCCAAGCAACTTTATAAGATGGTAAACTGTGGAGAAGGTTCCCAGTTGAATTGGTAGAAGGAAATCCTCACCAGGAACTCCCTCCACTGATGAAATCATGAGTCTAGTAAAAAACAAAAATCTTCTTTGTAATTGCAGCAATACCTTCTCTTTCTGATTGTTCATTATTTTGCAGATCCTCACATTTGAACATATATTTCTTAGCCCTTGTGTCCCAACATCCTCTACCCCTTTATCAAAAATGGTAGTGAGATATCTAGAGACATACTTCCTTGTACCAGGGGAAAGAATTAGTTGTTTAGTAAAAGCTTTGTTGATAGAATCACATAAAACAAAGTTTCTACTTTGGATTTTATTTATTTATCAAAATACATTGTCTGCTATAAAAAGTCTTAAAAATTAATAACACCATAGGTTGTCACAATTTTTAAAATACTTTCATTTACCAAACCAATATTTATTGAAGGCCTCTCTGTGCAGTATCCCAGGCCTCACTTTCTGAGAAATACAAAGATAAAAAAGGCATAGTACCTACCTTCCAGAAGTTTATAATCCAGTGGTGGAATAAAACATCTACACAAATAACTACAATAGAGGGGAAATGTGAAAATTCAAAGAGATAAAATTGGTAAGAAGTTGCGAGGTAGGAGAGATTATTTCTGGCAAGGTCAAGCGGACTGTGTCAGGGAAGGATTTCTAGAGGAGGTAGAATTTAAACTGAGCCTTGAAAAATAAGCAGAAATTGCTAGGAAGGCATTTTATAGCAAGGATATATTACCTAAGAATTTATATCCATTATTTCCATATCCATATTATTATAGAGGATTATTTAAGTAACTCATGCTATAGGAAGTTCATGCAATTGCTCTAGATCCAACAAAATAACATTCACAACCTTAAACTGTCCCTTACATCTAATAAATTCTAATTATTACTGAAATTGTATTCTGAAAATGTGATTACCAGGACAATAGACTGACTATAAAGAAGACAGCATAAATAACTACTTAACCTGTGGTCCAGGGTAACCACAAACCTTGTTGCTTGGACAGACCCTATGTGCATCCCACATCTTCCATTAGATTATTTGGTTATGTAGAATCATAAGCAGCCATGGACTTATGCCATGATGACACCACACTGTCAACCATACTCAGAAAATCCAGGCATCCCTTGGGAGGGTGTAGTATACGTAGGGTCAAAATGGAAACTGCTGCTGTAGATTTTAATGATGTTTCTGATTTTTACTTCTAGCTGTACAATTTATTGGAAAGAATAAATCCAGACCACAACTTTCCTGTAAGGTAATAATTCTAGATACAATTTGAATGACTGAGGGCTTTTTTATACATGCTTTTGAGGCAAGCAATCAAACACAAACCACCCCAGACATGTTGACTTGATTTTAAAGTAGTTTAGCAGGTTGAATGTTGCATTTTCTTGTAAATGCAACTGTAATTTTTTTTTTTTTAGTTGCTAGCACACGAAGTACTGTTTGGGAAAAGATTGTTGCAAGAGCTGAGGGAAAAAACATCCGTCTTTTGGTGAATTTTACAATAAACCACCTTGCTGTTGAAGCATGAGATGAACTTGCTATTTACTTTCAAATTTGTTTTGCGTAACAAAACTCAGTTTAATTTAACAGATACTTGTTAAGCACCTTTTATATTTGCAGCTATGTGTTCATACTGAGGGGAGTTGAAAGTTTAAATAAGACACAGTCCTCATACTCATAGAACTAATGGGGGATGGAACCCTCAATTCGATAGAGGTTTATAATACCTGATAAATACATGAGAGGTGCAAAGTTGTTTGTGACAACTGAGAGGGAAAAGATAATTTCTAAATGAGGGAATCAAGGATGGCTTGATCTAAGAAGTGGCAATTGAGCTGAGCCTTGAAATATAGGTAGCAACACAGTTAGAACAGAGAACATTGCATTTTCTGGGAGCATTATGAAAACAATACACTGATAAGACAGATGAGGGCACAAATGGAAGGTGGTCAATTAGTCCAGCTTGATTGAAGATTGTGTATAAGGAGGGAAGTGTTGGGAAATAAGCCTGGAATGGTAGAGAAATACCAGATTATGGAGGGCCTTGAATGCCAAAAAAAGAAATTTGTATTTTATACTGTATTTCGAGAAAAAGAAACATAACCATTCACTACTATTCCATTTTTATTTTAATATATTCTGTTTAAAAAATGAGTTCAATTTTTTGCCTTCCCTACAGTTCTCACTGCCTGAGGGCTGCTGCTTTCTATATCCGAGGACTCTTCTCTTTCTTTCAAGGAAGATACAATGAAGCAAAGTGAGTATGAGATCATTTCTATCTGCAAAGGGCTCTTTTGAAGATAATGTGGAGCAGAAATTTGGAATCCCAGAAATCTGAGTCTCTTGATTAAAATAAAAGGGATAGATAAATGTACCACTTTCCTTTCACATTCAGCTTTTCCCTGATAGGTGTTTAAATGTCTCCCAGGTAGTATACTTTTTAAAAAAAGGAATTTGGCAGTTTCTGAAAAATATAAAATCATAGAATCTTAGAACTGGAAGGACCCTTAGACATAATCTAATAAAACCTCCTCCATTCCTGAAGCGAGAATACTCAATAAGTTGTCTTCCACACTTTGCTTGAACACTTCCAATGCCAGGAGGCTCATTATCTGCCATGTTATTCAACAAACCTTTATTTTAAGTATCAGGTGCCAGGTGCTGTGCTAAGCACTCAGGCTACAAAGACAAAAGTGAAATAGTCTGTGTCATCATGGAGCTTACATTATAGTGGGGGAAGTGACATGTACATTTATAGATATACACAAGGCTTATATACGGCAAAAAGAGGATAACCTTGGATGGGAATGCACTAGCAGCTAGAGAGACTAGGATAGGCCCCCCCGAAGAAGATGGCACTCGAGCTGAGGCTTGAAGGAATCCATAGATTCTAGGAGGTAGAGGCAAGGAGAGAGAGAGCGTTCCAGTAATAGGAGACAACCAATGCAAAGATATGGAGCATCATGTGTGAGGAATATCAGGTAGACCAGTCTGATTAAACCATACAGTGCACAAAGAGGACTTGATGTGTGAGGATGATATGTTTAGACCTCACTCAACTGAAATTGCTCACTCCAAAATGACCAGGGACTTCTTAATTTCTAAATATGATGGTCCTTTCTCAGTCCTCTTGATCTTTCTGCTATGCTTGACACTGTTGACCATGTTCTTCTCTTTGGTTTTCTTCTCCTATCTATCTGACTTTTTTTCTCAGTTTCTTTTGCTGGTTTATCACCCATATTTCACTACCTATCTGTGGCTGTACCCCAAAGCACGGAGTCCCTAGGCCCCTTCTCTCTTCATACTTTCTCTCTTTTGGCAAACTCATCAGCTCCCTTGGATTAAATCTCTATATAATAATTCCCAAATCTATACATCCATTCTCAGCCTCTCCCCTGAGGTTCAGACTCACATCTCCAGCTGCCTTTTAGACATTTCAAAGTGGCTGTCCTGGAAGCATCTCAAACTCATCATGTTCAAAACAGAAATCATCACCTTTCTTCAAAATCCGTGCTATTTCTATTGAAGACACCAGACTCTGGGGATCTGTGTTTATCACCTTGGCATTATCTTTGATTCCTTACTCTCCCTCACCCATTGAAGCCAATCAGTTGCCAAATTTTACTATTTCTGTCTCCACAACTATCTTTCACATTTGATCCACTCTGTCTGCTCACGTAGCCACCCACTTAGTTCAGGCTCTCATCCACTTGCCTTGAACTATTACAGTAGCCTCTTAATTGGTCTTCTTCCCTCAAGCCTCTCTGTACCACAGTTCCATCTTTCACACACAGCTGCCAAAGTGACTTCCTACATTGAAGTAGGACCATGTCCTACTTGAAGTGACCATGTCACTCTCCAAATCATAAACTGCAGTGGCTTCCTGTTGTCTCTTAGGTCAAATACAAACTCTACTCTTTACCTTTTAAAGACCTTTCACAACCTAGCCCCACCTATCTTTTTAGCCTCATGCACAGTTCCTCTTGACACACTCTAAAATCCAGCCAACCCTGACCATTTTTCTCTTCCTCACACAGAGGACTTCATCTCTCATCTCTGTGTTTTTGTGCTTGCTGGCTCTTTTCCTATTCTTAGAATGTACTTCTTCCTCACCTCCTTCTCTTCCTTCAAAAAGCAATTCAAGGACCACCTTCTACATGAAGCCTTTCCTAATTTCTCTTCCCACCCTACCCCCAACTACTACTTTGTGTTCTTTTATATTTATTCTGTGTACATTTATACAAGTACTTATTGTCTCCCCGATAGAATATGCACTCCTTGAGAAAAATGATTATTTTAGTCTTTATGTACCCATTGTCTAGTACAATGAAATACAGGCACTTAATAAATACTAGTTGATTAATTGAAGAAGACTGGAAAAGTTTAAAAAGGCCAAGTTGTGAAGAACTTTAAATGGCAAACGGGAATTTATATTTAATCTTAGAGATAAGAGGGTGCTACTGGAATTTATTTAATAGGGAAGTGATTTGAACAGACCTGCACTTTAGGAAAATAACTTTGTCAGCTGTGAGGAGAATGGGATAGACATGGAGAGAGATTTAAGGCAAGGAGATCAAATTAAGAGGCTACTGAGGTGGTGGCTGTGTGAGTGGGGAGGAGACATATGTAAGAAATGTTGCAAAGATAGAAACAAGACTTGGCAACTCATTAGATATATGAGATGAGTGAGTACAGAGAAGAGGATAACAGCAAGGTTTCAAAGCTAGGCGACTAGAAAGATGGCTGTGCATGCCCTCAGTAATAATAGGGAAGTTGGAAAGGTAACCAGTGGATTTGGATCTAGATACAGTGAGTTCTGTTTTGAACAGGTTGGATTTGAGGTGCCTACATCCAGTTTCAAATGTCTGATGAGCATTTAGTCCCTTCTATTTTTAGACAGCTCTGGTTATTAAGAAGTTCTTTAGATTGGTCCTAATCTAGTCCTTCCAAAATATAATCCTTCAGATATTCAGACAGAGATCATTCCCATCCCCCTCCAAGATCCTCCCAGTGCATTTATCAAGTCAATAAAAGTTATTTACCTCTTTTGTGGGCATAGCAATGTAGTAGGTAGTATGGGGACATAGAAATAAAAGTTATCATACTATTAAATTTGCATAAGATATTTCAAGGCCCAAAGAGGTAAGAGTTTGAGTTGCTGCTTTGCCACTAATTCACCTTTTAACCTTAACAGAGGCACTTGGCCTCTTCAATCCTCAATTTCCTAGTTTATGAATTGGGGATGATAATTCCGGTGCCACCTGCCAGATAATGTTCTTGTAAGGTTATGAGCTAATGAACAAAAAGGCTTTATAACTGAAGCACTATATAAATATCCACTACAGTTTTTACTCCCTAACTGGGACTAGAGACCTGGACTCCTTATTTCCATTCCATAGCTCATTCTTTTCTTTGTAGGAACTAACAGTCCATTGGAGGAGTTGGAGATAATAAGGAAAGGGTCAGCAAAAGCATAGAACAAACACAAAGGAAAAGAAATAGGTCTCATATACATGACCATTTACATTTCCTCCAGATTCTTCGGATAGCTAGGGTAACCAGAGGGCTTTCAAGATGCAGGTCTTTGATTTTTGTTTTAGTTGGGGAAAGGGGGATTGTGTCTGAGCAGTGATCTGTATAAAGACTAGGATTAGAAAGCAGACTAAAACAGATTTGTCACTTGTAATAGATATTAAGTTATTTAGCTGGCACAGACTGATCTAGATTACTCGTACAACAGTATGAGACAAGAAAGAATTTATTGGAAATGCTTTTGAGGGGGCTATTCTGAATGCAGGTATATAATGTAGAGCAAAGAGCCCTGGAGTTGGAATCAAAGGCTCTAGGTTTGACTGTGCTATTACTAGCTATGCAGTCTTGAGGAAGTTATTTAATACTGCTCCAGCTTCCTCACCTATCAGAAAGAAATAATACTTCTATTCACATATAATAGATTTTGCTCTATTATATAGAGCTTTAAACTAGAGCAATCTAACTATGGAAAGGAAGACTTTTTTAACTCACTAGTGCTAGAGGTGTTAAAGTAGAGGTTGGGTCTGGGAACAATCTGTTGAGAGCATTGTAAAAAGAATTGTTGCATTGGGTGAGAAATTATACTGGATGACTTACCTCATCTTATAGAGTGCCAGGCCTGTAGTCAAAAAGTCCTGAGTTCAAATCTGGGGCAAGTCACTTGTTTGCCTTAGTTTCCTCATCTGTAAAATGGGGATAATAGTACCTACTTAGTAGGGTTGTTGTGAGGATCAAATGAGGTAATAATTGTAAAGTACTTAACAGAATCCCTGGCATATAATAAGTGCTATATAAATGTTAACTATTATTAGCTATTGTTATTACCTCCTGCTCTTAGCAAAAAGAAAACTATAGTTTTCTGATTCTGGATGTCATGAAGACTGGCAAGTGGATACAATTTATAATTGACTGCTTTACCTTACTTAATTTGTTAATGGTAATATAGTTGTAGATCAATGTTAATCTTGCCTGTGGTTTTGGTTTACGATGATTTTAGGCCCATTTTTCTATTTTTTCCATAAGGTGTTACATTTTAAGATGGTTTTATCTTTTCTCCTGTTTTTACTTTTGTAGGCGATTTTTACGAGAAACCCTGAAAATGTCAAATGCAGAAGATTTGAACCGGTTAACAGCCTGTTCCCTTGTCCTCCTGGGCCATATATTCTATGTATTAGGGAATCATAGGGTGAGTGTCAGTCATTATACTGTCATTTTTAAATGGAATTCACAGAATATTAAAAGTTGGAAGAGACTTCAGAGATGAGCTATTCTAATCTCTTTTTGTTGACATTGAATATTGTATAGCTCTGATTGTTAGGAATGTTTTGCTTATTTTGACCTGAAACTGGTTTCATCATAACTTCTGCTCTTTGGGCCTGTAGGCTAACCCCTTCTCCACATGACAGCCCTTCTGACATGACTTTAAAACAGTGATCAATGTTACATTCATAGTTCTTTCAATTAGATACTACATTTTTAAAATTATCACAATTACAATAATTGTTTTAATGTCAATAATCCTCTGGAGATGCTTTGCATTTATGAATCACAGAGTATAACTTGATTCTCTAAAGATACAAAATTTCAGTCCCAAAGGACATTAGAAAGATGTGTGGTGGTCATAAACAGGCTGGAGCATATTACCATAGATGAACTGACATGCAAGAGATAGCATAAAATATCACATCCAAGAAGTATGTAATTGGAAGTATATGTGGGGCAAGCATATAGCTAGAAAGAAAAGAAAAACAGATAGCCTGAGTGCTGCATTGGTGTCCATGTAACAGAAGAAGATTTTCAGCATATTCAGTGGTACCCTTATGAAGGATGTATGGGAAAGACACGGAAAACAGTTATTTAGGATGAAAAGGCATGGATGGATTGCTATTTATATCACTAGAGAGAATACCTACATCCTTTAGAACATTAATCTGTTGATGTATAAATATAGCTAAATCTTTGGATGTTTTGAATGCATGTTAGCTTTTTAAGTATTTGTCTTGTTTTGTTTTTACATGAGTATGAATTGACAAATTCCTGAAAAAATTATTTTGCCTATAAGGTCTCCCTGCTTGTCTTATTCTAGAACTTATACCTTAAAATTTTTTTTTCTTGTAGGGTGGAATACATCCTCTTGGTAATTTTCCAACCTAAAACTGGGGCTGGGAAATTCATTTATACATTTAGGGTTACATTTATAAGACCATTAGACGAGAATAAAATTGAAGGGAGGGAGAGAGAAAGAAGAAGGAAGGAAGTAAAGGACATGCATCAAATGGAAGGAAGAATTTATTAAGCACCTACTGTGTGCTAGGATCCATGCTAAGAGCTTTACAAATATTGCCCTTTAATCTTATTAAGAGTAATATTCTCTATTATTGTCTCAATATTATCTATTAACTTATTACTAATTAATATCTATTAATTTACACAAATTACTATATTGTCATATGAGCTGATATTCCTGGCACCTGATCAAGCCATCATCACCACCTCAGCCCACCCTTATTGTAAGAGTTGCTGCCCCTTGTTACCCTAGCGCTTTCGAGAGTTGATATATAGTAGCATACCACCTAGCCCTCATGAGTCTCGTTACATAGTCACCCTCACTCTGCTCAAAAGACTCAATTGAGTCCCACCCTGAATATATCAGAAGAATAAGCATTGCCAGCTTTGATCCATACTTCCAAGAGGTTAATGATCTCTGCTTCATTTCAAGGATCTGTGATTTATTCAGTACAGCACCCTTTACACTCTAGTAGATGGACATCATGACTTAGTTATCAAAAATTTGGTAATGAATCTTTTGCTATTTAGCCTCATCTTTGGGCAGCAGTCATATATGGTCTTGTCATCAGATCTGTACTCAAAGCCTTTTCCATTTGGGTAGGATCTGTGACAGCATCACTCCACTGACACGGCTCTAGACTCTTTTACATCATGGCAGGATATTGGAGTAGAATTTTAGTGGAAGGACTTCTGCTGGAGTCCTGTAAAAGCCACTTGTTACTATACGAAGGAAGCTAAGACAGTTGGGTTGTGGCAGTAGGCCTGAGGACTGTGCCAGCCCTCTCCTACACATTAGGATTGCCAACACTTAGAAGCAGGACTGCTGAGCTCATATTGTTACATGAGCCCATTATCAAATGTGAGCATATTTGTAAAGTGCTGAGCACAGTGTTTAGCACATAATGGGTGCTTGAGAAATACTTATTCACTTTCCCACCCCTATCCTTTTCCCCACCCCCATTCTACTGCTGTTACAGAGTTAATTATCTTGGAAGAAGGGAAGGGTAGTAATCAAAGTGATATCAGGGTATTCAGGGCAAAGCATTGTGGCTTTGGGGTAAGGGGAGCCTATTGTTTCTGAGTGGCTTTCGCTATGTGTCTTCTGTGTTCCCCTGTTGTGTGGGTCCTTAGGTAAGTCCTATATCACTGAGTCATCGATAGCTGTGTCTTTGACAGTATATTCTGAGCCTTTGTCTACACTCTCGGGTATACCTGTGTTAGAGATTACAGAATTTGGACACCACTCCACAAGTATTGGATTAGAGTAGTCTTCCATGGAATCTATCTCAAAAGTTTCAATCAAATAACAAGCATTTAATTACCTACTAGGTGCCTGGCATTGTGTTAGGTCTTAGGGACACAAATAATAAAAGCAAAGCAGCCTGTTAGAGGTAGCTGGTGGCACAGTGGATGGAGCACTGAGCCAGGAATCAAGAAGACTCGAGTTCCAATCCAACCTCAGACACTTAACTAGTTGTGTGACCCTGAGCAAATCATTTAACTGCTGTCTGCCTCAGTTTCCTCAACTGTAAAATGGGAATCATAATAGCACCCACCTCCCAAGGTTGTTGTGAGGATCAAATGAGTTAACATTTGTAAAAGCACAGTGCCTGGCAAATAGTAGGCATTTAATAAATGTTTATTTTCTTTCTTCTTTCCTTAAACTTGCATTCTCTCAGGATAAACAACATGTATACATATAAGTACCAAAGATATACAAAGTTATTAAATACAAAATAATTTTGGAAGGAGGCACTGGCCAGCTTGGAGAATCAAGAAAAGTTTTTTATAGTAAGTGGCACAAGTTGAGCTTTAAGGAAGTTGAAAATTCTAAGAAGCAGATGTGAGGAGGGAGTACATTCCAGACAACAAAGAGCCTCTTCAGAGGGCACAGAGACAGGAGATGGAATGTTGTGTCTGAGGAGCAGCAAGTAAGCCAATTGGACTAGAACGTAGTGTGAACTAAGGAAAGTGAATAATGTGTGTTAAGCTTGGAAAGGTAGGCTGGAACCACATTGTGAAGGACTTTAAATGACAAATACAAGAGTTTGTGTTTTATTCTAGAGGCTTTTTAAGTCCAGGAGTGACATGGGCAGATCTTTGCTTTAGGGATGTCTCTTTGATTGCTGTGTAGAGGATGAATTAGAGAAGGGAGAGACTTGAGGCAGGAAGACCAGTTAGGAGACTATTTCACTAGTCGAGATGAGTGGTGATGAGACCTGAGCTAAGGGGTAGTTGTGTGACCAGAAAGAAGGGGGAAGACTGAGGAAATGTTGTAAAGGTAGAATTGACAAGACTTGGCAATTGTTTGGATGTAAGTGAGAGAAGGGTGGGGAGAGGAATGAATCGTCATGGATGATCATAGTAAAATGGGAGATAATAATAGCACCTACCTCCCAGGGTTATTGTCAGGACCAAATGAGATAATAATTGTAAAGTGCTTAGCATAGTGCCTGGCACATAATAAGCACCATATAAATGTTAGCTATTATTAGTAATAACTTACATTGGTATAGTAGTAACCAGAACCGTATTCATTAATTGACATTAAGTCTAGTAGGGGTCTGAAAATGATGTCATTGGAAGGGACTTATTTCTTCAGACACCTAATGAGTTATAATATAAAAGTGGAATTGAACTTGTTTTGCTTGGTCCAGAAGGGAAAATTAGGACCAGTGGATAGAAGTTAGAAATGCAAATTTTAGCTCAATGTAAGAAAAGACTTCCTAATAATTAGAGCTATCCAAAAAGAGAAAGGGCTACTTCATGAGATAATGATTCCCCCATTATTGAAAGGGCTTCAACCAAAAACTGGATGATTCAGTTCAACAAACATTTATTTTGTCTGCATGCAAGGCACTCTGCTAGGGAATACAGAGACCAAGATGAAACAATTCCTGCCCTCAGTGAACTTATATTTTCCTAAGAAGAACAAAAAAAATACATAAATAAGTATAGTAGAAAGAAAATTGAGGTAGGCGAAGGAATACTAAGGGAATCAGGAAAGGCTTCGTGTAGCATCAGACACTTAAATTGAGACCTGAAGGAGCACAATGATTTTGGGAAGCAAAAATGAAGAAACAGTGCATTCTGGGCATGGGGATTAGCTTAAGCAAATGTTTGGAGGAGAAAGGCAGATGTTTGAGTTGTAGGAGTAGCTAATATTCTAACAGGTGTTGGCAAGATGTCCCTTATCCTCTTCCTCTTTTATATAAACTGTGATTTTCATTCTCAGGTTTTTTTTCTCCCTACATTCAACTCTTTGCCCTCTATTCCTACGGGCAGTGACTACCTGGAAGGAGCTGTAGGCCACCCAGGCTAACTTGAGCCCAGTGGCCAAAATTGAGTATAAATGGAGCCAGGTGACATCAGCCCTTGGATGTAGATCTATTATCCCATAACTTCTGCCTTGGCAGACCTTCCTAGAACCCAAAATATTAGTCTCATTATCAGTAGTGAAATCAATGATCTACCAGCTTCAGTTAGCCTCGTTATTCAAATCCATTGTTCAGAATATATTTGGCTTATGGGTGCAACAGTCTAATAGGCAGATATGAGTACAGGGCCAAGGAAAGAACATAGGATCCTGGAATTAGTAAAGGACATCCACCAATTCTGTCCCACCAAGTCATGGCCTTGAACATTTCTGAGGAGAGGAATAGTGACTGAGCTCACAGTCTTACTAGCACAAGGAAGACCAGAATGGGCATGGCCTCTCTGGCTCATGACCAAACCAATCCATCGTGATGAGGAAGGACAACACAACACAGTTGCCACCAGGGTAAAAACTTTGAAGAGAAAGGTTGAATCACCTCCTTTATGCCCCTTGTATTTTTCCTCCTAAATTAGTACCAGCCTCTTAGCCTGGGTCTCCTACAAGCAGTTTCCTGCTTTGTCTCAACCCATTGGATTTTAGCAGTGAAGAAATTATGGTACCTATACAACTTGACATTTTTGGTTTACCTTTGTTTGGCCCTACCCTTCCTTCCCAGCAAAGGATTGCCCATTCCTTGCTTATTTTACCCTAATTACCACCATATGTTAGCTTTTGCCTAGGCAGAATGCAGCACAGACCTTTTTCTGCCTTGCCTTCCCCTGCCTCCTGTGCCACATACACTCCAAATCCTTCAGTTGCTGGACTTCATACAGCTATAAGGAAGCATAAAATAAGAATAAGCCTATGCCTCCAAAGTCCCTGAGCTGGGCAGCCATTGCCTGATTGGCCACAACCTTTCTTTGATGGACTTGCCAAGCTATGGGATGTGTCTGTCTGTGTGTTCATCTGGGTCTTTGCATGATTTTTCTTTTATTTGAAGATCCATCTTCACTCATAGTGTAAACTTAACTCAATCTTTCCTTTGCAAGGGCCATTGTTTAATGGCTTGGAGATACATGTTTTCATCTTTTTTAAAAAAAAATTTTTTCATGTAATAAGTGTTTTTTAATTAATCTGTCTCTTCTACTACTTCCCCCATTGAGCAAATTTTCTTCTACTACCCCCTCCCATTGAGCAAATTTTTTAAAAAATCCCAAAACACATCCTTCATATATAATCTATATAGTCGCACAAAACAAAATCCTATATTAGCCATGTCCAAAATATATATATATCTGTATTTTAAGTTCATTAGTTGTGTCAGAAGGTAAATAGCATGTGTTATCTTCATTCTTTTGGACTTGTGGTTTATAATTGCATTAATCTGAATTCTAAAATCCTTCAAAGTTGTTTTTGTCTATAATGTTGTTACCATTGTATATTTGTTCCTGTAGTGCTGCCCCCTTCACTTTGTGTCAGTTCATAAATGTCTTCCCATTTTCCTCTGAAGTTGTCCATTTCATCATTTCTTATAGCACAGTAATATGTTCTTCTATTCCTGTGCCGCAATCTGTTTAGAAATTCTCCAATAGGAGGACATCCCTGTGGTTTCCAGTTTTTGGCTACTACATAAAGAACAGTTAGAGGGGCAGCTATGTGGCACAGTGGTCACAGAGTGCTGGGCCTAGAGTCAGGAAGATTCATCTTCCTTGAGTTCAAATCTGGCCTCAGACACTTACTAGATGTGTGACCCTGGGCAAGTCACTTAACCCTGTTTGCCTCAGTTCCTTATCTGTAGAATGAACTGGAAGAAAGAAATGGCAAACCATTCCAGTATTATTGCCAAGAAAACCCCAAATGGAGCACAAAGAGTCAGACATGATTGAAAAAACGAAATGAATTTTTGTACATATAGCTCTTTTTGATCTTTCCTTGGTTTCCTAGACCCAGCAAATGTACAGCTGGGTCAAAGGGTATGCGCAAGTTTCATAACTGTACAACTTTCTGGGCATAGTTCTAAATTGCTTTCCAGAGTGGATGAACTAATACACAACTCCACCAACAATTCACTGTTTTTCCCACAGATCCTCCAATATTTGTCATTTTCTTCCCTTTTTGTCCAATCTGATGAGTTTAAGTTGGAACCCCACATTTCTCTAATTATTATTATTTAGGACATTTTACATAATTACTAATAGCTTGGATTTCCTTTGACCATTTATTTACTGTGGAATGGCTCTTAGTCTTTATAAATTTAATCATGTTTTCATCTTAAAAAGGGAGGGATATGTTGTAAGTAGCCTGAGTACTTGAACCCCAACACTGTTAATTTTCCTTAGCATCATTCTCCTTACCATTACATTTGTACCATTTATCCTGTTCCTTTTGATATTGTTTTCCCCAGCATCATGTTTTACCAGAGCCAGTTAATGTTGCCAAGAAGGAAAGTGTGCCTATATTTGTCTTTATAGCCATTAATGTGTTCAGTATCCCAGAGCCTAAGATTTAGCAGAATCATGTACATGTACTTCTTTTGAGAGAAGAAACAAGTCAGTTTTACAGCAGTAGTTTTCATCTTTATATTGCACCACTGTTTTAATGTGTTATTTGGGAATTGTGTACAATAGGAATAGGGACTGAATTTATGATTTCATTGGTATAGAGAATTTCCAGGTGAGGAAACTCCCCTTACCAATGCAGGTTAGCACCTCCTCTGCAACTTACAGTCATAGAAATCTGCCTAGAACACTGAGAGGTTAAGTGATTTGTCTATGGCTACAGTCAGTATTTTTCAGAGGACAGACTTAAATCCAAGTATTCTTATCCACATTCAAATGAGATAAAGCCCTTAGCACAGTGGCTGGCAATAGGTGCTATATAAATTCTGTTTCTCATGGATAAGTTATAATAATCTCTCATATTGATGTTATTTTGCAGTTACAAAATACTTTTATATTCATTATTTCATTTTGACTTTACAACAACCTTATTAGGTAAGCAAGGCATAAACTAGTAATCACTTTACATTTGAAGAAACCAAGGTCCACAAAGATGAAATGTCTTTCTAAAGTGCACACAGCTAGAACGTAGCAGATCTCAGGTTTCCTGACTGCATCAGTGCTCTTCCTACTATACCTCTACCCACACTACTTCTCTCCAGATTGGCACTGTGGCTTCAGATGGGGATTTTTCAGCCTCCAAAGGGTTCATTTGCCTGCGTGCCCTATGGCTAGCAGGCTATCGTTGCCTGCTGTCTCACTCTATGGAGTGTCTATTGCCCACCAAGAAGTACATACTATCCAAGTCAGTGTTAGCAAGTATGATCCTTTGGCCTTAGGGTCCTGAGCAGTGCCCTCGGATCATTTGTCACTTCATAGTGCTAACTTTGATCTCTCAATTATTTATTGACCAGGAAAGTAATAATATGGTGGTACCAGCTATGCAGCTGGCTAGCAAGATTCCGGACATGTCTGTGCAACTGTGGTCTTCAGCTCTGCTAAGAGGTAAGTCTGATGGGCAACTCCCTGCAGACTTTGATTGTAGTTAAGCACTAACTTAGACAGTTTGCCTTGAATAGATGGCATTTTGTCATCCACCTGAGCTCTGAGATTATAATTAAGAGTGTGTTTCTCCTTTTGGTAGTGGGAGCAATAATAATAACAACAATAATATTCACATTTCTATAGAGCTCCACTTTTTATAGATTCATACATTGTTAGAATTAGAAGAAACCTAAGAAATCATCTAGTCTAACCTTCCCTTCTTTTTTTGCAGAGGGTGGGTAGGAATAGAGGAAAGAACACTGTATTTGGAGTCAGAGGACCTAGGTTTAAATTCCATTTTACCACTTACTAGTTATGTGACCTTGAGAAAATTGCTGGATTTTTTTAGGTCTTAGCTTTCTTTTTTTTCCCCCAAATTTTTCACATTTTTATTGAAAGTTGTGAGTTCCCAATTCTATCCCTCCCTCCCCTCCCCCATCCTTGAGATAGTAAGCAATCAGATATAGGTTATACATGTGCAAGTATGTAAAACATTTCCATGTTAGCCATTTTGTACAAGAAGACTCAAATAAAAGAAAAAAAATGAAAGAAAAAAGTGAAAAATAGCATGCTTCAGTCTATATTCAATCAAATCAGTTCTTTTTCTGGAAGTGGATAGTATGCCTCATCATTAGTCCTTTGGGATTGTCTTGGATCATTGTATTGCTGAGAATAGCTAAGTTCACAGTTCTTCACAGAACAATATTGCTGTTACTGTGTACAATGTTCTCCTGGTTCTGTTCACTTCACTATGCATTAGTTCGTGTAAGTCTTTCCAGGTTTTTCTGAAATCATCCTGCTTGTCATTTCTTATAGCTCAATAATATTCCATTACAATCATATACCACAGCTTGTTTAGCTATTACCCAGTTGATGGGCATCCCTTTGATTTCAAGTTCTTAGCCACCACAAAAAGAACTGCTATAGATATTTTTGTACAAATATAGGTCCTTTTCCCTTTTTTGGATGTAGATCTAGCAGTGGTATTACTAGATCAAAGGGTATGCACAGTTTTATAGCCCTTTGGGCATAGTTCCAAATTGCTCTCCAGAATGGTTAGATTAGAGCAGCTAGGTGGTACAGTGGATAGAGCACCAGCCCTGAAGTCAAGAGGATCTGAGTTCAAATGGCTTCAGACCAAACACTTGACGCTTACTAGCTGTGTGACCCCGGACAAGTCACTTAACCCCAATTGCCTTAACAAAAAAAAAAAACACAGAATGGTTGGATCAGTTCACAACTCCACCAATAGTGCATTAATATCCCAGTTTTCCCACATCCCCTCCAACATCTAACGTTTTCCTTTTTTGTCATATTAGCCACTCTGATATGACCCTCCCGTTTTACAGATGAGGAAACTAAGGCTTTGAGAGATGGATTGATTTGCCATGAGTCATGTATCTCTTTGGTAGAAGGACTGGAATCTGAACTTTTTCTGACTCTTTGTCCTATACTACTTTTCCCTATACACAAAAGTGTTTTTCTCATTACCACCCTGGTAAGTCGATAGTAAAAGTATTCCCATTTTGCTTTATTACTCAAAGGATCTATAATTTCATTTGTATGGGTACTCACTTCTCTTATGCAGACTATAACTTAATAGATGGTCTTTGGGAAGTTCTCTAACCAGACAATTCATTTATCCTCTAGCCAATCTGTGATGAGCATCTCTTAACTTAGCCAGGCTAATAGCACTCAACTGGAAAAATAATTAAGCATCTACTCTGTTTAAAATACCAAACCTGTGAAAGGTATTTCACTTGTCATAGAACCTTCCAGAACTAAGAGTTCCCTCCAAGTACATGACAAAGCATCAAGTTCCACTTTAGTGGAGACTCCCCTTTTTAAAGAGCTGAGGAAGCCAAGGCTCAAGAAAATTCAATTCAATTCAGCACATGTTTATTAAGTATCTACTCTGTGCAAGGCATTGTACGTGCAAAGGCCAAAACAATCTCTTTCTTCAAGAAGCTTACCTTCTGCTGAGAGGAGACATCATGTGTACTGATAAGGAAATTTAAAAATCATTTGAGGAAGGAGAGGAC